GCAGACGTGTTCCTTGCAGTGGGAAGAAGTTAGTTTGTTTTTCTGGAAGAAGGAAGGAGATCTAACTGAGGAGGGGAACAGGGCTTTTTTTTTTTCTTCCTTTATTTTTTTCCTTTATTATCTTCTTCCTGGTGAGTAATGTGCTTTTAAACCTACTTAAAAGACAGCGGAGGCTCTGAGGGAGGTGGCGGTACCTTGCCCAGCCTCTGCCACACCAGGCCACTACAGCCTGCGCTGCCTGCCCTCGCCTCCCAGCTGTGCCTTCGCTATCAGGACTCTCAGTGAGGTTTCCTGTGCCATGAGTCACTGCCTCTGTGTCCTTCCACTTTGACACCTTGCTGGGCATGGCCATCCAACCTCCTTCATGCTCGTGCAGGATTAGCTGAATCTACACCACTTTCCCCATCTTATGCAAGGCAGTGCCAGAAGCCCAACCCCGCTCCTTATCTCACATCTAATACTCCTGTCCTCAAGGCCAATTACCCTGTTAGCAGAGGGGATTGGATCGACTGCACGCTGACTTGTCCTTGACAGTCCCCTCTGCGGCCAGGCACTTGTCATCGGGCTGTTTGTGCCTCCGCCAGCCTTCCCCAGCGGGAGGCAGCTCCTCCTCCACTGCCGCTGCTTCCGCAGGCGATGCTGGCTGCCCTGCTTCTCCTCGGGGTGCTCAGCGGGTGCTGGCAGACCCCTCACAGCTGTGGCAGAAGCAGGGAGCACGCACATGGCCTTTACCTCTTCTGCCTAGCTGCCAAGGGTCTCCTCCTGCATCTCCAGAAGTCCCCTCGCAGACGTCTCCAGTGGGGAAGCTTTGGCCACGGTTCCTGTCCCCAAGGCCATCAAAGTGTGACACTCACAGCCCATGCCAAGAAAGATCAGACAGTGAGGTGGGTAAGGAACCCACCTATAAAAAGGGAAGATTTTCAGTATTAACCACTGTCTGAGTGACGTGAAGAATAAAGCCGGTGGCTCAGCCTGGCCCTCAGAACAAAGTCGCTTTCCAAACTGCCCAGGCCATAAATGTCTGGTTCTCCGAAGGCAGCAGAGATAACTGGTGCTGTGAGCACGATGTTTCATCTGCCTGGTGGGAAAGGTTTCAAGAATCTTGGTGAAAAGCTCATGTCTGATATCTGCTCCTTTCAGTTATGGGATTAAATTGTTAGCCCTACATCCCTGTGGCCCACCTGGGACATCTGCACAGCCTCCTAAGTCTCCCTCAGTGCTGCTCTCCAGGGAGGGGTGGATGTGACCACCTGCAGCGCTTTGATGGACAGCCACACGCCAGCTCATCACCAACCCCTGGCCACAGCAGGGACAGCGTGGGGCGATGGCAGCCCCCTGCAGCCACCGGGGCTGTGGAGCTGCAGCGGCAGAGCCCCGCACCCAGCCGCGGAGGCAGCAGCCCGTGAGTCAGCTTCCTGCTGGGCTCCGCACCGAGGGGAGCTGGCGGGAGGCTGGCAGGAACAAGCAGAGGCAGGAATTCCTCCTGGACACCAGACAATGTCCCGGTTTCCTCTGCCACGGGTCTGGCACACGGCTGGGGGCAGGTAGGCCGAAGTGGCCCCGCTGTGGGCAGTGAGCATCTGCCGGGCTCGCAGCCTGCAAGGGGACAGCTGTGACACCATGGCCATGGGTGACACCTCCCTGATGGTTCCTCAGAGTTGTGCTGGCACAGATGTGCATCATCACTGTTGTAGCCCTGCTGCTTCGTCAGGGGATCCCCCCTTGCCAAAAACCCAGGAGAGGCTTCTCCGAAGTGGGGGGGACTACTGAGAAGCAGCAGCCAAAAATCAACCTCGTCCCCTTGCGAGAAGGGGACACAGAGCAGGGCACACGCTGTCCCTGCAGCCCTGGCCTCCTCCCAGCTCTGCTTTCACAGTCATTTGAAAAATGACTTAAAAGATGACTCCTACAAATGGCACTTCCCCCTCCTCCCTCCCTCTCCCCCCGCTCACAAGCCAGCCCTGTCCCCAGCAAGGTGAGGCTGGTGGCAATCAAGGCTGCAGCGAAGCTCTCGCTGCCCGGGGCAGCGCTGGGGCTGTGCAGCAGGAATTAGCCTGGGCTCCCTGGGGACAGGATCATGTTTGTGCCAGATGTGTCCCTGCTCCAGAGGAATGTGATTAAGGCCACCTGGAGAGGCTCTCACAGGGCGACAGCCAGCACTGCGGCACCTGCTCCCCCTGAGAGCAGGAGTGTGCACGGGAGCAGCTTCGCGGGGCCAGCATTAGCTGTGACAGACCAAATCCATAAGCAGGGGGCTCCAGCTTCCCCCGCAGACGGGGCCCTGCCCTTCCCGTGCTTGCCCTGGCTGAGGGTCCCTACCACACCTCTCGCCGTGCCGGTGCGGGGCTGCCCAGGGCAAAAGCATATTCGCTTGTGGCTTTTCCAGCTGGGTCATGAGAAATGCAGCCCTGGCGGCGAGATCACGGCATGAGGGAGCTGCACAGCACAAGGCTTTAATTACAGTCGGAACACGCGGGGATGAGGCCAGCCAAGCACATCCACCTAATTTCCTCTCCTATTAAGCCTGCCCTGCTTTTGTGTGACCCCGGCCCAGGCTTGCTGCTAATGGTGCGTTGCTGCGGAGGTCACAGCTGGCTCTGTAGCAGCCTCGCCGACGCTGCCTAGCTGCGTGTGTGAGCGGGGCTGTGCTCGCAGATACCATTACTGCGGGGTTCGTGCTACAGAAAGTGTGTCAGCCAGCTGCCGTGCAGTGGTTTCGCAGGCGAGGCCGTTCCACCAGGCACGGGCAGCTCTGTCTTTGTCTCCGGCTGCACGATGAACCCAGGCAGGCAAGCAGGGAGGTTACGTGGTGTCGTGGCATCGCCGCCGAGGCCTGCTGGTAGCCTGCGCTCAGGACATTTCCTCTTCCTGATCTCTCCTGTTTGGCCTCAGCCTGCAAAATCATTCCTGGTTCCCCTCCCTGCGCTGCCCTGGCACGGCAGCTCCATCCTCCTCCTCCCCGGCTGGGACGAGAGCCTGCCACGGGTCCCCTTTGGCCATGACCATGCAAAGGAGACAGCAGCATCCCTCCCTGCAGCCATGGGGCAATGCCCGTGGGGACGGCAGCCAGCTCTAGGGAAGGCCGGGGACAGGTCCCAGCCTGCCGTTCCCAAGGGGAGGCAGGTTTGTGGCTGTGCCTGCAAGGGCAGGTGCCTCCCGGCTCAGCCCTTCCTTCTCTCCCCGAAGCCTGTCCTGGGGCTGGTGAATCCATTTTTTTTGGTGCATTTTTTTTGGCAGAAAGGGGGCAGAGCAGGGGGCTGGCACTGTGACAGGATTGTACGGGGTCCAACTGAAGTGTGACAGGCTTTTTTGTGATTTTTCAGGTTTCATTTATGAAGTTTGAGGGGCCAAGGCAAGGACCTACAGAGATCCAGGGGGAAGGGGAAACTTTTCCAGTGGCATTGGCTCCAAGCTTTGCCAAGGGGCTGGTCTTGACCAGCAATTTCCCAACAGCAGGGCCGTGTGATGGTGCCAATGCTATCTCCTAACAGAGATGTGTCAGCCCCTCCTGGCTGCAGAGAGTAAAAATAGCCGGAGAAGAGAGCTCAAGCATATTGAACCCAGCTGGCAGAAACAGAAACCCAAATAGTTTGCCCAAACACACAATGGTTTAAAATAATTCACGTGATAATTTTGGGAGTGGACTTCGTATTTTTAGGATTTCTCCAGACAAGGGTGAGCGCTGACTTCTGTAAAGATAAACCTCTCAGACAGCAGAGGTGGGAGAAGCCCACGGTCAGAGTGCGGCCCTGGGCCAGCACCGAGCCCCTGCCAGGGAGTTTGCACATTGCAGGGCATCCCCCAGGGCTGGGCTGGGGCAGCCCCTCGGCTCCTCTCCTCTCCTACACGGGCATTCGGTGGTCTGGCAAAATAACCTCCTGCTTATGGCAGCACCCAGCAGCCTCCTGTGCTGGTCCTGCAAAGTGGGGGTACCCCCTGAGCCCACCTTTCTTCTGTGCTTCCCCGAGCACTGCTGAGGAAGGCGGCGGGGAGCATGCAGGTGGAGCAGCCTGCAGGCAGAGCTCATGAATGCTCCAGGCTGCATCTGACCACACTGCACATGCTGTAGCTGGGCACTCATACTGCCTCCCTCCTCTTCTGCACGGTCAGCAGTGCTGCTGGGACCTGGAGAGGGTGCTGCGGGACCAGGCGCTGGCTGTCCCGCTGCGGGCCCAGCCCAGGAGCAGGGCAGCCACCACCCCTGCACCTGGGCAAGCTCAGCCCTCTGCCACGAGCCCCAGAAACAACCAGCGACCCTGAGTGAGGGAAGTGGGGGACACCTCCTGTGCCCCACTGCAGCACCTGCCCCAGGCTGAGCGTGGCTGGAGGACGTCTGACCCAGTGCCACACGGACCCCACGGCAGGAGCAGCCAGCAGCTCAGGGAGATGCAGAAGGGTGCTGGGTCAGGCCTGTGTGCTGTCCGCCTGGTTTGGCTCCTGTGGGAAGAAAATGTGGAGGGAACATGTATTTATTGAGATGTTTCCTCTGTATTCAGCACGTGCCTACAGGCTGGGTAAAGAAACGGGCACGTGCTGAGCGTGCAGGCACACGCACGTACGGATGCACGCAGGCACGGGTGCACATTCCTGGTTAAACAGGGGGCTCTTGACCACTGTTTCCAGCGGCCAGCATGAGGTCTCCAACTCCGCCAGCCTGGTTTCGTGCAGTAACCAGCCACTGGGTGATGGTGCAGAGCCTACCTCTGTGCGGGTGGTGCTGTGATACCCCCTGCTCCAGCCGGGCTTGTTCCCTCACTGCCTGCTGGTGCAGGCAAGGAACAAATTTTGTCAGGGAATTTCAATTTGATTTATTCCCAGTTACCAAACTTCTAGTTACTGATTCTGGTGGTGAAGAAAAACAACAAATAAACAAATGGTTAGGGAAAAGACCCCCCTGCTTCCTGCTCTCCAGCCCCTTGCCCCGCTTCGCTCGGTCCCAACCCACCCCTGCTGTTACACCCTGCAGAGCTGCCCAGTTCATTGGGGAACAGAGCCAGACGTGGTTCCTGTGAAGAGTTTATTGGTGTAGCTGTTTCCACTACAGTCAGAGGAGTCACAACACGCAGCGACAACAGGCCTCCTACACTACACAGGGAGGACAGGACACACACGGCCACAGACACACGGAGACGCTCGTCTCTCCGCCCCGGGCCCTGCGGTGGGCCAGGCTGCGGGGCAGGAGCCAGCTGCTGGGGGCAGAAATACCCAGCAGGTATTTCTGTAGCCTCCTGGAGAGATGTGGGACCCTCCCGGCAGCGATGCACCCACCTTCTCCTGCAGGAGCCATGCTGATAAACAGGAACCAGGGCAGTGGCTTATCCCAAATCTGATGGCCAGTCAGTGCTGGAGGGAGAAGCTGGGATGCCATCTCCTTGGGCACTACCCTCAGAGCTGCCCACGTGCCAGAGCTGCTAGCTGCAGTCAGGGTGGCTGCTGCGTCTGCCTTGGCCCCAGGCAGCACTGCCAGTGGTGTCCAGGGCAGCTCTGAATGGAGGCTGCTGGTCCAGAAGACCCCAGGAGACATCCCTCAGAGCTGCCTGGAGGTGACCAGGGGGCTGAGTGCTGGGCACACTGAATGCTGCTCCTTCCCTGCTCAGTGACTTCACTGCAGGGCTGCAGGGAGCCAGCCCTGGTGGATCACTGCGCATGGAAAAAGAGGGGAACCACAGGACTGTTTTGTGCTCCAGCACTAAATCTCTTGTATAGCTTCTTAAATGTGGTTTGTGCTCAAGGACGGGGAGCTGGGGATCAGGAACTGGGATGTAACCCTGTGAGGAATTTTTACTCGGACCCCTGTAACCTTTTTAAATGTGCAGAATGGCACAGGACTCCTTGGTCCCTGCAACAGGGCACACAGCCAAGGCAGCCTGAAGGGTACCTGCTCATCCCCTCCCCGTGCTGTTTTCCTTTTAAGAAGAGTGTTGTGAAAGTTAGGAGGAAATGATCAGCCTCCTGCATGCCAAACAAGAGTGGAAACGAGTCCTGTGGGAGGGTGACCGGGCAGATGAAGGCCTAGAGGATGGGGCCTGCAGAGCACCCCTCATCTGCAAGACATCGGGGCCCAGAAAGTGCCTGTCCCACTGGTGCAGGGGGAGCTGTGCTGGCCGAAGAAGAGCACTGGTCCCTCCTCGCCTGTGTACTCGGGCACACACTGAGGTGGCAGCGCCTCCCAGGGAGCCCCAGGCTCAGGAGGGTGCGTGGGATGGCAGTTTGGCTGTGAAGGCAGAGGGAGCAGGAGGAAGGCATCTGCCCAGCTGAGCATGGAGGCTGCTCTCACTGCCCAGCCTGCGAGGAGCCCGCTGGCCATCCACTGGCCTGTCCCCGTGCCTGCTCGATGGTGCGTGGTGCTGCGACACCCAAGCTTCGTGGGAGTGGAGTGGGACACAGTGGGACCAGCTGGCAGGGCTCCCCTTCACCGCCTGCAGACTGAGCGCGGGCTGCCTCCAGCAGGGAGTGGGCAGCCCCCTGACCCACGGGCACTCTGCAACCACACCGCTTCGGGGTGTGAGAGGCATCTCTCGGCCCACCAGGTCCGAAAAGAGAGAGACTCACAGCTTCTGCCGAGCGAGTGATGGGGCAGCAGGAGCCAGGGCTGCCTCCTGGGGGCTATGAAACAGCCATTTGATGGTCCAGGCAAGGCTGCATGGCTCACGGCAAGTCTCCAGTTAGTCCTCGGGAGTGACGAGCAGGCGTGAGCAGCTGTCCTGCGCGTGGGGACGGCAGGCCCCAGCTCACACAGGCATGTGCAGCTCGTTGTACTCATCCCGGCCGTCCTCGTCGAAGTTTGGTTCCGCATCCTCGGAGTCCAACTGGGGAGAGACAGAGACAGGGCTTTGAGGGCCACAGCAGCCCCCAGCACGGGGCACACCTGGTGCCGAGGGAACAGTGTGCAGCGAGCCAGGCAGCTCTCTTCTCTGGGAAGAGCAAAGCTCTTGCTTCTTTCCCTCCCCAAAGGCCTGTCTTTTCTACCCCTCATGCCCACACATGCTTCCCCAGCCCAATGCCCAATGCTGTAAGCATTTTATTCTGACAGTGCTTGCTCACTGGTCCAACACAGAAGCTCCTGCCTCCTGCCCTGCCAGCAACACCCAGGCACACAGCATTTTGGGGTGCTGCTCCAGGCTGCTCACCAACAGGAACTCAGGAGTTTGGCAGCACCCAGGGAGCTGCCAGCACCAAAGGTGCTGGCTCTGTGGTTAAGTGCTCCTCTGCCAAGCAGCTGCAGGCACTGGTGTGTTGCTGGGCTGTCCCTGCTGCTGCCTCAGTGGGGAAATAGGGTGTCTCCTTGATGAAGTAGCCACAAATGAGAAGGAGAATGGAAAAGAAAGCCCTTGCTGTGTGGCAGGATCCTCTGTTTCCTTACCCTAGGCTGCCCATCCAACCCATGTTCCATTCCCAGGGCTACAAGCTCAAAGGAAGCCACCAGCCCACCTAACTGCCGTTGAACAAAGACCACCAGACAACAGCAGGGAAAGGCAAAGCTTTTCTGGCCAAGGATCTCCTCACAACAGCGTTGCAAGCAAGAGTGCGAGGACAGTTATCTGCTTACGGCTTTGAGCTCCCTGTCGTGGAAGAAGCGGGGCAGCACGAAGCGTCGCAACGGCACTGTCATGATCAGGACGAAGGGGAAGGCCAGGGATGCCACTGTCGATTTCACCACCCAAAGCAGCACAATGCAGGCCAGTTGGATGCAGGTGAAGAGATTCATTCTCCAGGTCTTTACCTAGGGAGGTAAATCCAGTCTGAGAACACATTTTCCTCCTACACAGGTTAACAAAGGCCCAACTGGCCGAACACAACCCTTTTACATGGCACAGGACAGTAATGCAATGCTGTGCTGTGCATTCTACCTGTTTGTACACTACAGCAAGGCAGAACCCTGTAGCACGTCAGCATTTGTGCAGCCTATCCATCAGTGTAGCGCCCCTACAGCCATTTAAGCAATGCATTACCCCTGTGAACACTCTGTCCATCCAATATCCTGGCAACACACTTCTGTGTGCAGCCTGTCAGCACGCTATCCTGGCATTTTATCACCTCCATGTGCATCCTGCACTACTTCTGGACACAACGTTGCAGCACACCACCCCTCGGGGGTCACCAAACTAAGCATCACCAGCATCCTCTCTCACCTGCCTCTTCCTTCTCTGCTCTCTTGCAGCCTGCCTTCGCTCACCTTAACAACGTAGATGTGGTCAGGGTGGTGCTTGGATGGCATGAAGATCAGGAGCAGTCGCTCGTAGAGCTGGATGCCGGTGAGGGATGTAACCCCCATGTAGAGGAAGATGCCAAAGAGCACAGCCAGCGGGATCTGCCGCAGCATGTTCCCCATCACAATGGACAGGCCTGCAGAGACAGAGCTCAGGGCATGCTCTTCTCATGCACCCAGCCCTCCCCCACCTCCTCTCTATCTGTCTTGGGGTGCATGAGTTCAGAGGAGTCTGGCTGGAGGGGGTGTGGAGAAGGACTGACTGTGGGGTCAGTTACCCAAGGCTTCCAGAGAGGAGCTGGCAGGAGGGTAAGCAGGGGCAGTCCTGCAGCAAGCAGGCAAAGTGCAAGCTGGTCTGTGGGGCGGGACACAGCCAGGGTGAGATCTGAGTGTCTGGCCCTGACCCCCCCCTCACTCCTTCCCCCAAGCAGAGGCTCACCGACGAGGGCGGCAATAAGCACTCCTGTCACACGCTGCTCCTTCACCTCCTCAATCTTGGGCTTCTCCCCGGGTGCAATGGCCTTGCTCATGACCGTCAGGGCGTTGACGTGGGTGACAGAGCGCACGGTTGCTGCGGTCAGCCAGGGCAGCCCAAAGAGGGCACAGAGCCCCCCCATCGTGCCAATGAGCAGCAGGTCCAGGTGGAAGCCAGAGCCTTTCAGCAGCTTCCTCTCCTTTTTGCTCACAATCAGCCTGGGAGAAAAGAGAGTTTGTGTCAGCCAGGCCAACCTACATACATCACAGGAAGCGTCCAGTGCCCATGGACAGCCTCGCAACTGGGACAATGATTATTCCCTGAACAGGGCACACGTGGGAACAACAAGGAGATGGCCAGGAGATGGCAGATGCCAACCTCAGATTAGAGGTTTTGTCCTGTGCTTGTCTGAGGCAGGTCTCCACCACACTGTATCCCAGGAGGAGAGCCACGAGACAGTGGAAGAACCCAAGAAGATGTGGTCTGAAATGGGCAGGGTCCTGCCCTTGCTGTCCCACCGGGATGTGAGGCACACCTCCACACCAATGGCACCAGCACCCACCCCAGCCCTGCCTGCCTGGAGGTGAGCGATGGTTGGTGTTGGCAGGGGAGGTACTCACGTAGTGATCTGCGTCTCCATGAAGATAAGGATGAAGACCAGGAGGGCAGGGATGGCAGAGGCAAACATCATCCACAATGGAAAGGTCCCACTGCTGCCCATGGGGTGAATGAACCAACCACGCTTGTGAGGAGATGTGACCGACAGGCCAGACGGGACATTCAGCTTCTGGTGGTGTAGCCACAAAACCGAGCAGTTATTCATCAATACTCACATGCCCACAGCCTCACACGGGTCTGGCCTTGATCCTCCTGGCCTCCCTGGTCTGAAGCTTCAGATGATGGGACAGCAACCCTGACCCAAGCTGGACTTTCTCATGGATAATCCCCTTCAGCGTAAAAAAATCCCATGTCCCCTCTTTCTAACAAGGGCCTCATTTCCTCTTTCAGCTACAGGAATTCACTTGGGTTTTGTCCAAAAGATCAACATCTTCCCTCAAGAACCTCACCCCCATGTCATGGCTTGCAGACCATGTTTAAAATGCTCCTTGACCTCTGCTTGGAGCATCCAAGTGCCCTGAACTGGTCACTCTTCTCTGAGGTGGTTTTCCAGACACTAAGCCTTTTTGGAGACATTTTTCAATATTGTTTTTGCACCGGGGACCCCAGAACTAGACACATTCTCTGGAAATGTCCTCACTCTTATCATGTTCAGTGGGAATATCATGTTTGTGCTCTCATCAGAGACCACACAGACTCCTATTTGTACATGGCCCCAACCCTGCGTTCACTAGCATTTAAAGTTTTGGCTCTGCCCTGCTTTACAGCAGTTCTTGCTATCTGTCAGCACGAACACTGCAGTGAGAGTTTATGACTTGCATTTATGTTAATCAGCATAAGTATGAATAATATTTCTGGAATGCTTGTACTTGAGCTAAGCTGTGCAACTAAGTACTGTTTTCTCAGAAAGCCATGTACATATGCTGAGTTGATAGTGAAATGATAATGCTTCTGATATTAATTGTTGAAGTGTAGAACGGTATGAAAAGGATGTAACAAAGTGTATGATTTCACCAACGTCTGATAAAACCAGATTTTACATTGAGATTTACATGAAAAAGAATGCATTTGGAATCCATTAAGCCTTGGGCTGTCTTGATAGAGAGCTTGCATGCTGAACAGGAGTTACCTTTCACCCTCTCCTTAGCGTTAGTTGACAGAAATAGCAAAACAAAAGGATAAAACTATGCATCTATTAAAAAGGGGAAAAAAAGGAAACCTATGAGATGGGTATGTTTGATAACTAAGTTTGTGCACAAACTAGGAAAGAGATCACTGTGCTTGAGATAAAATGATCAAAATGCTTAGTAGCCTATCGTTAAGAGGAGCATACACATGGGAGTACTGAAAACTTGACTGTACACCACTGAAAATACTCTATATGCCACCCCTTTTAGTGTGAATAAATTGATTACGTCTTGTTGAATGAAAACAAGTTTCTAGAGTTACAAACATGGAATTAACTGCATTGTTTAACTTTGATCCTCTAAAACCTCCCCTACCAACTGCAGGGATATCAGAGGGGTGTAAGGGGCACGCCGGTCCCTGTAGCTCTGGTCTCTGTCTCAGCAAGACCCTTGGAGCTTCCTTTCAGCGTGGGAGTAAGGACAAGGGGAGCGTCTCTGTTTGCTTTGCACTGTTATGACTAACAAGGCAGGAAATATAAATCCCCAGTTGCACAAGAGCATGCTTCGGTGTGGCACGGATCACTGGCTGTGCTGGAGGAGGGGCTCCGAGCGCAGCGCTGGCACCTACCTGCGTGTACGTATCTGTGATGGTGTAATCCACCAGCACCATGACCAGGATTGAGATGGGGATCCCAAAGTCTCCAATGATCCGCCGAGCCTGCAGAACAAACACTCTCGGTGGCAAAGGGCAAAGGTTGGCTCCTTACACCCAGTTGTAAGCTTTCTCCTGTATTCTAGTTTAACAGACTTGTTAAATGAGCTTTCCCTGGGCCCAGGGGATTTTTCAGAAAAGCTCACTAGAGCAGGACAGTGCAGATACCATCATCAACAGCCAGCTCTCATCCACAGCCTAAGTCAGATTACCATCCCTTCTGCATAGTATTTAAAAGACTGTTGGTGTTTCTTTGTCAGATGGTCCCTAATAGCACCAGCATCACATGGAGTAAAGTAACACTCCAGGGTGCAGTTGTGATCATACAGGGCTGGATAAGACACAAATGGCACAGAGTACTGTGGTCAAATTCATTCAAATTTTCACCAAGCAAACACTCTGAAGAACAAAAGGCTGCAGTAAGAAGCATTATTTATTTGGCATATCCCTTATCCCTAACATCTGGGTCCCACAAACCTCTCACCTTTCCTCCTAAGAAACGGCTGTTCTTGAACTTGCGCATGAAGAAGGCAATGAAGAAGGTGCCCAGCATGAGGATGAGGGAGAGGAGGGCAGTATTGGGCTGCATCCTAATTCCCAGTGACATTGCATCCGCGGAAAGCATGCTGGCATTCAGGCTGCTCTGCACGTTCGGTGGGTAAAACTTCAGCAGAGGATGTTCTGCAAACACCTGGGCAGGTGAAAGAAGCAGCAGGCACTGTCACCACATTCTTGTGGGGCAGGGGACACTGTTGCTGTTGGGGACAGGGGTGTGTAGAAGGGACCCGAATGGGGGCCCAAGAGACACGGCAGCCCATCCCCCCGGGAAGGCTCACCTTGTACAGTTTGTAGAAGGTCTCGTAGATGAAGATGAGGGAGATGAGGAAAGCAAAGATTTCCTGGGTGAAGGGCGAGATGTAGCGCACCAAGAAGCTTCCCTCAGCTGCCACAATAATGAAGATGAAGACGATGAGCCACAAACCAATCCACACTCTGCCTGTCAGATACTCAATGCCTTGTGTCTGGCAGAACTGAAATGGAAAGGGCAACGAGTTACTCACACCTCCTCAGGCTGCCTCCCTCATCTCCTCCCCATTAAGATCACAGTCTCCTGGAAAAAGGCATCCTCATCTCCACAGGCAACCAACACAGAGACCGCGAATTCAAGGCTGGAATCACAGGTAAAGCTGCAGACCTTTCATTAACACCAGCCAGCTCACCCCAAGTGGGTGTACAGAGGTACACCCTTGTACACCATGACTGGACAAAGCAAAACCCATCAACGGAAAGTGAGGTTACAGAACAGAAGAGAAATCCCCACTGCACAATGGCATCACCAGCTCCAAACTCTTGACACCCCAAGATGAAAACCTAGCTGTAGGAAAAAACATGCTTTATACACCCAGACATATCAGCAGCCAGAAAAAAGAAGGATTAAACCCACTGTTTAGAGGTAAGGTGACACAAAGATACTTTAACAGTGAAGAGATCATGCTTCTTGAGAAAAAAAAAACATGTCCATCCTGCCTGGGCAAGGTATCTGTATGCACCCTTGGGCTCATCCTGAGAGGCAGAATGTGCATGGGATTTCCAAAATGGGTGACACACTGAATGTTTTTGGGTTCCCATACAAGGAAATCTGGGTACGGATAACAGTTCTGAAACTGTCTTCAGACGAAGCCTCAAGAACAAGGAAGGATGGTGGAGCAGTATTTTAGGAAGCAGCTCCAAGTGCCCACTGGGCTGCAGCACAGGGCTGGGGGACAAAGCTTCTCTGGCAGTGAGCGGGTAAAGGAGTGCTGTCACCATTGTCACACCTCAACAGGGTCAGCCTGTAGGATACAGCAACGGGAGACAGAAATCCCAGCAGTGTGACCTGGAAGGGGTCAGCATAGATAAGGCCAGCCCCAGCTGAGTTGAGGACAGCCTGGTAGGACACAGGGCGTCCACAGTAACACAGTCCCTTGGGAGAGCTGGGAAATGCTGGCTGCCCTCTGCAGTGCATGGGCAGAGCGAATGGGTGCCAAGCACGGACACTGCTTCACAAGTACCTTGTAAAAAGCTTCTTCAAACACCAGCAGAGGCCCTGAGAAGCCAATGACCAGGAGCGGCTGGGCTCCAAGCAGGGAGAAGAGGATCCCTAAAACCGAGGTGGAGATTATCAGCTCGGAGACCCCCATGAGACCCTCAGTTTTCTCTCCTGGGAAAGAGAACAGTATGTGAGTGTTACAGACAGACACAGGCGCTGTCTCCATAGACAGGCAGTCTGTAGACTCCACGCAGAGGAGGCAGGTCCCTGTCCCACCGGTCAGAGGTCCCCTGCGCCGGGCAGGGAGTGCAGACGGAGACCAGGGAGCCTTGGGTGATGGCTCCCGGTGCCTGCCTCCAGCCCTGGGCTCCTCTGGCTGGAACAGCACAGCCTGCCTGGAGAGCGCTCAGAGAGGGGCAGTGAGCCGAGGCTGGAGAGGCCGAGCAGCAGCGAGGGGACAAGGCAGCGGCCACAGCGCAGCACCGCTGCGCTCCCTCAGCAAGCGGCACCGAAGCCCACCCCAGCACAGCATCACACAGACACAGCCAGTGTTCCAGCGTGCAAAGAGCAGACCAGAAAGCAGGCCCATTACCTAGGAGTCCCCCGAAGGTGATGGCAGGAGAGAGAGCAGCAAAGTAGATGAAGAGAACGGCCGCGAGACACTGGCTGTGCAAGGCGTCTCTGATGTCACTGAGGTATTTGGGGTACCTGCGCTTTATGTCCCGAACCAGACCTCCAAAAAATATTCCAGTCCGCTTCAAAGGGTCGTCCTCAGCTTCCTCCTCCTCTTCCTCAGCTTTCACTTCACACAGCTCTGGAGGTGCATGGAGGGCAGGGCTTGAGCGAGGGAATTCGGGGCCACCCTTGGGCTGCCCTTTCTCCATACCCCATGGAGACCTTTCTCCTGCAGCACTAACCTGCTGGGCCCCCTGTGACTGCACATCCCATCGCCTCTAGCTGCCCCCAGCCACTGTCCTGCCTCCCCTTGGCCCCCCTCTCTGCTGCCCCCCACCAATGCTGCCCACTGCTGGAGCCAGGCCCCGCTCACCCCTCTGCCAGGCTCTGTGAGGGGAGGGCCCACTGGGGCACGGAGGGCACTAGGCACAAATTCTTTTGCCCAAATTTGAGTGGAGAGACCTTTGGCTTCCTGGACATCCCCCTCTTTCATGGACTTCTGCTCCCTTTCCTTCCTCTTCCTTAGCAGCAACTTCTGGAAGGTGGCAATGGATTTGAGCAAGTCTTTGCCCTCCACCTCTGATGGGGGGATGACAATGCTGCAGTCCAAGAACTCATTGATTGCGTTGAGGAGGTCCTGACGGTCATCTGCCATGTACGCAGCCTCGTGGAAGTGCTGAGAGGGGCAGAGCAAGGAAGAAAGGGAGAAGGCTTAGAGCAAGACTGCACTCAGCTACCTAGCAACAGGAATCACAATGCTTGCTGTGACCCTGCAGTAACATCCCACTCCCTCCACCCACTGCTTGTTTCACTGCTGCCACGCAGTGACCCACATTCCCTCCCACTGCTCCACCTATTGACATTTCCCTATATATCCTCTCTTCCCTATAAATCCTTCCCAGTGACCTCCTTGCTTTTCTCCCCCAGGCCCCACTGCTCTAGCCCATCCCTGGTAGCTACATGTTCCACCAGACCACAGGGCTCCCCTCCTGTGACCTCTCCATCGAACCAGATCTGTGCTTCCCAGCTATCCTGGTGCCTCTTTCCCTAGTTAGCTGCTATACTTTGCCAGCCCATGACAGTGTTTACTCCAGGCCACTTGCTGTACTGGGCCAAATCCTCCTCCTTACAAGCTCTGTATGTACAGAGCCCAGCTCAGTAATATTTCAGAAGCCAAGCAGCACAAAGATGAAAGACTTCAGGTGTCCCCCGTCCCTGCAGCTCAAAATTGGGACTATGCAACAGATAGATGTCCTCTTAGTCTGAACTTGGATTGGTTTTGAGGGACAAGCTGGTGGAGTCCTAACACACTGCAGATAAAGTACAACAAGCAGAGTGTGAGACATGTAAGCGAGGAGCAAGCATAGGAGACACTTGGGAGACTTGGACATAAGGATACAAAATATGGGAGAGGAAGGCAAAATGGGAGTGTACAGCATGAGGGAAGCTGTGCAGGTGAAACCAGGCAGAAAAAAATGGAGATGCTCCTGGCAGCAAGGACAAGATGACAAGGAGGGTCTCTGAGGAGACAGCGCTACTACAGGTAGTAGGGGAGGTAGCTGGCAACTGTGCAGAAGTGCTGCATCGCCTCCTGCGTATCGCTGCAGTGAAAGGGCTAGAAGAAGATGAACAAGTGAGCAGCCTGTCTGTAAAGCAGGTAGGCGACAGCTAAGGTCTCTGCAGTGCACAGACTCCCTGGAGCCACAGCTTCCAGCTGTAAATGATACCGGGCTCCCTCCACGGCGCCAGCCACTGAGTAACCTTGCTACAGCCAGCCTCAGCTGCAGCAGCTGACTCCCCTGCTCCAGCTACAGAGCAGCAGGGCTCAGATGAGGAGATCAGCCCACAAACATAGCACTGAAGCTGGAATATGGCAGCTCACCTCTTCTGGCTCTAAGCACAGTCTCAACTAACTCCTGGGGAGGGATCTTTCAGCTGGAGGCCCTTGTAGCCCACAACCCACCTGCTCTGTGTGGACCTCTCAGTCCCCATTTCAGGGAGAGGTCTGCACTGATGCCAGGAGTGGCAGTTTGTTATTTGGTTAAAGTTGCATGGCACCAGCCAGAAAGTCCCTGTGAACCTCTGACTCCTCCATCTTGGATGTATGCAGCAGATGCTCAGATTATCTTTTCTTTGTCTTTAATTCCTTACCAGGATAATAAATTTCACTTTCCTGCCATCTAGCCAGATGGGGAACTTCTAGCAGTGTCTGCGCCTGGCAGAAAAACCTTTCCGCCTCCTCATCTCTCCTGCATTGATGTGCTCCTCTGCATGGACGCCGCAGCCATGGGACTTAGAAAGCTTTGGCAAAACTCTTGATAAACAGTTCCCAGGCATTGTTAGGCCTTCTTGTCAGTGTTGCCTGGGCCAGATGTCATGGTCACAGACACCACTCAGCCTCCCCTCCTCTGTTTGTGAAATGTGAACTGAACACAAGTCTTCTTTTCTAACCTTGGGCAGCCCTTTGCTCCTGCTTTTATGCGTACCCCCTTTCTTCACCTCCCAGCCTAGCACACTCTGTCCCAGCCAAACATCTACCCTCCTCTTCCCTCTGTACTGGAGCACCCTACCTTGGTTTAGCCAGGCTGCTCTTAAAAATCCTAGCTGCTCAGGCCTGTCTTTCCCACCCGGGCCTTTGCACAGCATCTCAGTAGCACTCCTGTCCCCGCACTGACTTTGGAGGAACCACTGAAGCTCCCTCGCATTGTGTCAGCATTGTCACTGGTCAGCTCCTCACCTTGTCGGACATGAGGGTGGAGATCGACCGGCCAATTTCATGGTAATCCATGTTGGCCTGGCTCGGTCCCAGCAGCACAAAGATGAATCTGACAGGGATTGGGACCTCCAAGACAGATTCCAGGAAGACGGCCTCATTTAGTCGGACAAAGGCCATAGTTGGCTGCTCCAGGAACTGCACACAACCTGCCGGGAGGCAATGTTTTGAGCACAGTTAATCATTGGGGTGAGCTGTACTGGGCTGCCTTGAACAGTGGAAACAGCAATGTAGGAGGTTCCCATGAGCCCTGCAGTCCCGTACTTGTTTCCAGACCACTGAAAGGACACCAAGCTTCATGCTGAGGACTGCTCAAAGTCCCTTGTTCACTGATTGTTCCCCAGCAATACCACTTACTCTCTTTAGCTCTCCCAGTTAGCACATTCTCTATCTCCTACACACGGGCTCTACTTACATTATAAGGGGCTGATTTTAAATCAGAAGGTTGTTTTCCACTACGCCACTGCCTTATGGAAGGAAGCCTTTTACGTGTAGGCAGTTAGTTTTATCACACAAACTTCTAATTTCATCAAAGAATTAAATCAGGTTTGCTTGACATGACCTATTTCCCATAAACCTCACTGCTTGGCAATAATTACATTCTTATCCTTTAGCTCCTTATTAATTGAATCCCATATTAGCTCTGCCATTATTTTGGCCGAGAGGGACGTCAGGTTAAACAACCTATAGGTACTGAATCACTGTACTTTGTTTCTTGAGCACTGACACCGTTAGCTTTATTCTGTTTTTCTCGTGTGTTCCCTGCATTCCTAGACCTTTTTCGGATGAAAAATGAGCCAGTTCTCTAAAGACTCATAGGTACAAATTACAGTTTGTTTGATGATGTCCGTGTCTCATGAGTGTGTTTGGCAGCCTTCTCGGTACCTAACAGATTGGGAAGCAGTCCCGCATCCTCCAGCATACCAGCCGCTTCCTTCTGATACTGAACACAAATGTTTATTGAGTACTTCTATTTCTCTGGCATTATTACTGATCTTTCTGCCATCTGTGTCCAGCAAAGAGCTGTGTTCTGTGTTAGACTTGCAAATCTGGGCCATCTGAACAGCCACGAGAATCCCAAGATACAGAAATGACCAGTGTGTAGTTATCCGAGTATTCAAAGTGCATTTATCAAACTGATCTGGCCTCATCATGGTTTAACATCAGCTTGGTTAAGCGGCCAAGTCTCTTTGCACAAGATTTCTATCTCCTAGAAAGGCACTGACATTTACTGTGCCTGTAGCATAGTTCTGTTTGCTCAGACGTTAATGCCAGCAAAGTGCTGAAAAGGACTACTCTTGTGGTCAGAAGGCACTAAACCCACTGATGCTCAAGGCTGCCTGCCCACAGCCCTCATTTGTATAGAAAAATATATTTAGGCAGTGATATGGCAGATACCAGAGGCCTTGCCAGCTGCTGGGCCCTGCTCCCGAAAACTCCAAGATCCTTGGCATGTACAGCCAACATACAGCCAACAACCAAAACTAGCCAGGGGCAGGACCTAGGTGCTGGCAAGGTGTAATGAGCTAGCCAGGCTGGGGGCAGCAATGGTCAGAAGACAACACAAGGCCCTACAGCAGTGCTGGCAGTCAGTCCCTTGGGCACTGGTTATCCACTTCTGAGCTGCAAAATGGGATGTTTTGGTGAGGTGGCTAAACTTTCTCCTCTAAGCTGGAAATCAGTCCCCAACAGCAGTGTCTACCAACCTCTTCACATTCAGTACTTCTTAATTTCAGAAAAAACTATTCTGTCACCTTTTACATTTACTACAAACAAAATGTGCATTATCTCTACAGAAGAGAGCATACAAGGCTCCCTTCTCACTTAAACTTTGGGAACATGTACTAGATGTTCACATACAGATCAGGAGAGAGAGCACCCACAGCTGGGCCCTGAACTGGTCTCTTGGTGTCAGGGGAGTCCATGTATTGCCTCTTACCCACGAGAACCACTGTGGCCTCTGCATCTTCAGGAATCTTCTCCATCAGCTTCAGGTATTTACGGTGCCCCTCAGAGTTATGGAGATGCAGGTTTTTCTGCCGGGGAGAACACAAACAAGTAAGGACAGTGCCCCTGTGCCTTGGTTTCCCTATGTTAGTAGGGCTTCCTTGCAGTGAAAGGTCATCCTGCAAACGCCAGGGCTGTTGCTGCCATCGCAAGCTCCAGCAGACATTCACATACAGTGTGAGGCTATAATTAGGTCCCAAAATCATAACGCAGTGACCTGATTTCCAGCGCTCCAGGTGATCCAGGGGAGCTCAGCCCTTGCAATGATAAGACCTCCTGTGACAGGGCCTAGAAGTGGGCATCAGGAGTTGCTGTGTGCCATCACAGGTCAAAGGGTGACCTCAGGGTGTGCTTGGAAATAAGAGTGGTAACCCCTCACATCTCTCTTACCTCCTTGCACTCGGTCTCGTGGGCCTTAGGGTCAGCCATCTCAATGCGCTCCTCCCCCATGAGGGGCACGCAGGTGTCCGTGGTGTGGTTGTGGTGGTGGTTCCCCACAATGGAGTTCATGCTGGAGCTGGAGTGGTTCCTTGGAAAGAAGCCCTCTTTCTCATCATTCGGGTGGCTGGGGGACGGAGTGGCACAGCCTCATTATCCTGCTCCAGACAATCTCCCTGCCCTATCCCACCACCCGCCCCACCATGGCAGTGATCCAGCTATCTGAGGTACAGCCAGATCGCTGCCTGGGACTTGCAGATAAAGCCTTGAGCCTCCCGCAGCCCTTGTCTGTGTCTCACCCACCTGTGCTTGAGCAGCAGGGCACGCAGCACGTTGGCTCGATCCTCCGCCCTGATCTGGTCGGAGATGATCATGGTCTCCACCATGAGGTGAGCGATGCCAGGCAGCGTGGTCTGCTCCAGGTCGAGAAGGACGGCACCTGCCAGCAGGAGGGGAAGAGCCCTGCTCCTAGTGTGCAGCACTCCCTGCTGCACACGTGCTCTGGGGACACAGCCATCCCACAACAGCCCCACCAGCACCAGGCCCTCCTTGCACTGGAGGCACCTCTCAGCCCTTCTTGCTTCCCCTCTGCAGCCAGCCTCAGTGCCCACACACAGGGCAGGGGCCTCAGACCATCCACCTGGTCTGGGAAGTCTTTCCCCAGGGCATTTTGGTCTGTGCTCTTGAGAAACGTGTGTTTGTGGGGACACTAGGAGCCAGGCTTTGTCTGGGGTATAAAAACAGATTTTAATGCTATCAGCTGAGAAACGCCCCAAGCCCAAGTGCCCCATGTCCTCCACGTAAACCTTTGTACCAAGAGAAACCACAAGCTTCTGTCTTGGCATGCTGAGAGCTTTCAGAAAAGCTTGCCACCCCATCACCTGTGGGATGTGAGCACTTTTCACTGAAATAGCACAAACACCATGCCGATATACAAACAGCAAGATATCCCACTCAGTGGGATGTACGCGTGCAGCAGACTGCGTGGGCTCTGACTCCAGACTCTCATCCCAACGGGATCTCTCTCTGCTCTCCAGGGAGAAAATGTCTCCCTCCGGTGAATTACCCATGCCCAGAAGCACTGGTAGCTCTGGTAGCTCCCCCTCAATCACCCTGACAGGTCCTTGCCTTCTCACACAAAAGATCTCCAGCCCACACACAGCTGGGTGTTGCAGCTGCCACGTGCCTGAGAGCAGCAAAGCAGAGCAAGGAACCAACATGGACATCCTCGGGCTACCCTGGAAAATGGGGTGCAGGACTGTCTGTCTCCCCACACCCTACAAGGAGCATGGACAGAGACACTGCTGGCATGTCTTCAGTGAGTGGCAACAGAAGCTGCCCAGCACAGCCTGTCCCAGAGCAATGCACAAACCCTGGCTGGTGGCACAAAGCAGTTCCTGACTCACCATGGGCAATTGTCTTCCTGAGCTCCAGCAGGCTACGGAAGGACAGTGAAGCCACGTGGGGTTTCCCCCACCTTGCTGTGTCCTCCTCCACATCCTCCTCAAACTTGATCCAGCGGGCTGTCTCCCTCCAGTGCATCTCCTGATTCTTATCCACCACCAGCTCGTTCAGCTCCACAAAAACCTGGCAGGGATTACAGCAAGGACGTGAGACCTCCCCTGATGCACAGAGTTCTATGAGCAGTATGTGGAAAGCCTCAGCTTTGTCCTCAGTGTGCTGCTTGGTCTATAGCAATGCCTGGGTAAACCTGCTTTAGTTAAGCAGAGGGCTGGAGAACGGAAACAGACGGGACAAATATCACTGGCAGCAGAGCAAGAGCTTCCATCAGCACATGGAGAAGCAGAAAGCTTCAAGATGACACAGGCAGAAGAGAGAGAATGATGCAAACCTGGACCCCTCTCTACCAAAACTCACATCTTTTTCCTTTGCCTGCTTCTTGGCTAGAATAAGTTTTCCCCCAGGTTTCCTCCACTAACTTTCTTACCAGAGATGGTGAAATCACTGTGCTGCTGACTTCCAAAACAGCACTACCATTTCTCTGACTGTTTTTTTTTTTTTTAATGTCCTAAAGTTGAGGCTCTGTGATTTCAGAGAAATCTCGACTTTTATTGAAAAAGTACTTTTTCAGCCCTCATGACAATGGATAAGAGCTTGAAATGTCACTCCCAAGGCCATGTAAAAAAATAATTATAATGAAACCACATTTGTCACTTTATAAAATGCCTGTTTCTCATCCTGATTTATGGCTTCTGAACAAGTGTGGGAGGACACCACATGGATACCTCATGAGGCTTTCTATCCAACTTCTTCTTCTTCTTCTTTTTCTTGACAGATGGGGTTGATGCTAATTTTTTGCTTGTCCTGGTGATCTGGCTCCGAGACGGTTTCTTCATCAGATGCCTCCTCACACCAGGGTTATCTTCAAAACGGTGGCCTGAGCACAAGGGAAAGGAGAAAAGCCCACCGGTGTGTCTAGTGGAAACACACTGCCTGGCACAGAACCACATTCCCACATCCCAGCCCACCCTTCTCCCATCAGATTACACCAGCAGAGCCCTGGCAGCTGGAGAACTCACCATCACCCTCCAGGCCTTTGAAGATCTTTCCTGTCTCACCTGCCTACGTCCAGCTGTTCCTGATGCCTTCAGAAGGAGGTTTCCTCCCAGGCTGTGAGCATCGCTGCAAAAGCTTATCCACGGTACCTGCATGAGTGGCGGGCGAACCCTCCCCACGCTGCCCCAACAAAAAGCAGTCCGAAGCCTTGCCCGCACAGCTCCGCACCCCGACAGCAGGGACAGGCAGCTGGCTGGGGCTCATTTCTCCCCCCGGAGAAAGGCTTGGTGCTCAGCAAGCATAAAGGGCAGTGAAAGGGAAGGATATTTAGCTGCTGGTCTGGGAGACGCGTGGAAATATCGATGGCCGTTTTATTTAATTGTGTGGTGAGACTGCAGTGTAACAGAGCAGACCCGGGGCTGGCATGTAGGCTGTGCAACTAACTCCGGCTATCGCCGTTTGCAGACGATCCACAGTGGTGCTGCAGTGCCCCGTGAAAGGTCTGTGTTACAGGGCTTGGCTGGCTGAATCACAGCCTCCTAAACCTCCAGAGAGGCTGCATTTACAGACCCACCACCAAACTACACCAGGGCTATTAGCTAGCCAGCGCTTGCCAAGATCTGGCCAGCCCCATCTGCAATGCCAGAGAAACAGTGCTTGGACAAGATGCTTGAGCAAGTACCTACAGCACATACAGACCATGAGCTCCCTGGGCATGAGAAGTAGTGCAAAGCATTGGGCTCGAAGGCCACACGCTCTCCTTGACGTTGCAGGAAGGTATCTGTGCATCTATGGCATGGAAAGAAACAGCCCAGCACCAGGCCAGGCGTAACAGGGCTTTGCTTCTTGGAAATCTGGGTTGCTAAATTAAATATAAAATGAATCAATAGTGAGCCTCAGGGGATTTTCACCCACTGGCTGCCCTGCTGATGCAAGTCCTGCTGTCAGCTGGACTCCTCCCTGCTCCACTTACTGCACTGCAATGTCAATAGGAGCCAATAACCGCCCGCTGACACAAACGTTTCTGGGAGCTGTGCATCTGGGGGGCTTCCTCAGACTTCTACATCGATTTCGCAGTTCCTGCATGCTCCACAGCCACTTCCCCCAAACGAATGTCATGTTCAAGTGAGAGCCTGAAGCCTGGGGTCCTTACTCAGGGTACAATCTTGGACTGACATCCAAGGGTGATGTTCCCAGAGAACAGCTCTTCCCTCCTTGCTTGAAGCCAAAATCCCCAGTGCAGCTCCCTCTCACCAAGTATGGCTCTTGCCATAGCTAGCTCCAGTAGCTCCCCATGAGCAGAGCACGAGACAGTGACAGTGCCTGAGGACAGTTTATGGAGCATGATTCTCACGGTGGCTCCACTACAACAGCCTGGTGTGTCACCCTCCCACACAGCATCTCCCACAGTCTCTTCCAGAAGATGATCTTGCCACGTTGGCTTCCACCAGTCAGATTTCTCAGGCTGACCAAGTATGTTCTCCTCCAAATAAATCTGAAGATGACAAATGTTACTGTCCACTGGTTAAAGTCTTCCTCCAGAATCAGTCCTAGCCCATCCAACTCAGCAGAATGCCTTCAACCCATGTGTTAGCTCCCACTTTCCTCCTTCCTTTACCCTCTGTCCACAAGCAGAAAGACCAGAACGAGGCATCAGGGTAGGTGTATCAGTACGAGAGAGCAACTTGCTGGCCCAGCATCACAGCAAGGGTGAACATTTCCTATTTGCCTCAATGGTAAGCTAGAGCATCACCTCAAGGAAGAAGAGACCGAAACCCTATCTCTTGGAACAGTTAAAGTTAGACTAAACAAAATGTTACTCAACACATAAAAAGTCACATATATCAACATATAAAAAGCCTTGTGCTGGCTTCTGGAAAAGAGCTATTGTCCTTGCCACAGCTTTCCCAGTTTTAGCTGGAGTGGGACAGTATGATTGTGAGTAAATATGGATATACAGAGACACACTAACACCACCAACCCCAAAGCATGTACGTGCATGTGGGATGTGTATTACAGCTATATGGCCAAGTGCACGCAGACATGTAGCAGAGCATGTCTAAGTGGGAAAGTGAAGGCAGAGGCAGGACAGACCTGTGCAGACACACACAGGTGTGTGAGGATGAGGTTGGGCCACTGCCTGCTGTGTCTACAGAATACCTGTGTCACTGTGAAAAGGAAGCTAAGGCACGAGAGGAGCTGTGAAGATGCAAGCTCTCTGTGCTTCAGGTGCCAGCTAGCATCAGAGAAAGAACAAACCTGCAACCTGCCACGCATCCCTGGAGGCTGTGACAAGAGGCATGCTGTCAGTCCTGTACGGGGGCCTGGGACCAGGAATCAGCTCTGTGGACCCCAGGACAGGGGGAGAAGCAACTACAACATAGAGAGCAGGAGCAAGACAACTTTCCTGGGTGCTGTTTGCATGCATACTCAGCCAAGACAGGATGTATTTTTTCCCCTAACACAGACCACCCAAGGCAGAAATAGCAGACTGAAGACCTGTCACTTCTCCATCATTCAGATGTCAGCATGCACTGCACCGTGGAAAAACACGAATAGAGCAGATACTAGGGAAATGCAATACAGACTCCCTGGATGGCTTGGCACAGAACCCAAATCTGTCCTGGCTGGTGCTGAGTTCAAGGTAACAGAGCCAGCTGGACCCCAGCTAATCTTTGTTACCACCCAGGTGTCCCTGCACAGTGCCCCCGTGCTCCAGGCACTAAAAGGAGTATAAAGAGACCGGCTCAGGTCCAACAAGGACTCTGCCCTGCAGAATCTATTCCTCCTCAGTCGGAGACAATCCTGGAAGAGCAACTGCCACGTAGCAAGTAGCTGAGCAAGCGGCACTAGCTGGACACGAGCTGCCTCTGTACAGACCTGACATTGTTGTGTCTGCTCTCTCTGTCTCTGCCGTATCTCTGCGGGATTAATTCACAGTGTGGATTTATTGTGCAGAAATAATTAAGAGTTGACTGGGCAGCACATCCTATTTCAAGCACCTGCAGCATTAGCTGTAGCAATCAATGAATGTGCTAACAGTTAGCAAGCCCAATATCCCCCCTTCATAAGTGATGCATATCACACCTTCTAGAAGCAATCTGCCCCTTCCACCTTCCCAAGAGCTGCCATTGTTTCTTGGGTGAAATTGGGGCAATTTCTCCCACTTTTAATGCATAGCTTGCTCAGCCTGGGACAGCTGACAGTGACAATTTGCTCCAGGTTTGTGTTTTGAACTTTGCTCCTATTAAATTGTCTGCGACTTTACAGTAACAAGTACCAGACGTAGCCAGAGGCAAATCCCCACTTGCCGGTCCCTGTACAAGCACACAGCCAGACGTTTCTTCCCCAGAGGCTGCAAGGCTTATAAAGATGGACTAGCTGAGACGGAGAAAATGATGCTGGGACCAGGAGGAATGGCAAGTTAAATCTTTTGCCTAAGATCATAATGGCACGCTGTGGCAGAGCCAGAAACTGAACCAAGCCTCCTGAGTCCGTGTTGCACTCTGCCTCCCCACTCCTGCTTGCAAAGCCTGCAAGCGAGCTAGTTCTGGGGCCATGTCACCTTCCCTTGCGCACTTGTACAATGCCTTGAAAAATCAGAGCACGATCTAGATGAGGACATTTGGGCAGCTGCCACAGAGCGACGACTGTGAATGGTGTCACTCCCAAGGTGACACGCAAAGCCACCTTTTAACTGCGAGTGACCACTGCCTGCTGAGAAAAGAAAGGAAAAGAAAGGTGGGAGTGAGGCTCTGGTTCCTGTGCAGTCCCTGGGATGGCTCAGAGAGCCAGTTTTTCACAAGGGCTGCACGGGTAAGGAAACAGATGCAGAGAACAGAAAGGTGCTCTTTGCTCTTGGGATTCCTATTCTCTCCTTCCCTGCTTTTCTCACTCTCACTTCCTTCCTCCTTTCCCCTTTCCAGGCACCCCAGCCAGCCTGCCATTAGCTGATTTCACAAACAACACTCAAGCCTGCAGACACAGGGACTAGTTTATGTCCTCCCCAGTGCCGAGCTGAGAACCTGATACCTTCTGCTTCTCTCGGATCTGTGGCCCAGCTCAAATTCCAGCAAAGAGCCACAGCTCATTGTCACTCTGTGCCACAGATGGAAGGAAAATTTCTCTGTTCTTATACATAGCAGCTTCTCCTCTGGCCACAGCATGGGCTACATCCCGAGAGCACAAACTAAAGATGCAGCTGCCTCCAGAGCTACTCGAGCAAGACACACAGAGGGAAGCACCTCAACACTACGAAATGGATCTGTACAGACCTCAGACACACACACAGACAGCTCCTCCAGCATCCCCAGGCACAGGGCTGCATGCAGCGGGGCAGACAATCCCTTCTCTAAACCAGGAGACAAACCTGACACAGAGGGGGCAGCAGACAGCAAACACAGGGTGGGGATACTTAGATCGGGGCTCTACAGCTGCAACCGGGGGTCACTGCTCTGGTACTTACAGGTGGGCTCCCCGCCTGGGTAGCCCAGATGGTTTCTGATGGCCTCCCATAAATCATAGTCTTCAAAATTGAAGGCAAATTCATCCAAGTCTTCATAGCCGAGCGAGTTGCGAATGCAGGTGCTCATTGCTACCTCAGGGCTGCTGCCCCCTTCCGATTCCCTCGCTGCCTCCTCTCCCTCCTGCGGGGTTGTCATTTTGTCCTTGCGAAGGTCAGGGGTCAGGCGCCATGAGCCACTCACCTTCAGGGCAGGGGCTGGGGTAGCCAGGCTGAAGCGCAGAAGGCGAGCTGCCCCGCGAGGGCTTCACCGGAGCCCTGGGGCCAGCCCCGGTGCCTCGCTCCCCTGGGCACGGGGCATGAAGGTGCTGGCTGCAGCAGCCCCTGCAGACTGACCGGGTCCTGGAAAGGATATTTCCACCCAGGGATGTTCCTGCGGGGGCTGCCCCAGTGGCTCCTCGGGAGCGGGATCCTCGCTGTGCCGCGGGGTCTGTCGCTGGCTGCCCAGGGACAGCCTGGCTCCGCGCGCAGCACCGCTTCTCTCCCTCACTCCCCTCTGGTGTCTCCCTCCCTCTCCAGCCTGCAGAGCAACCTATTGAATTCTCCATGTCCTCGGGCCCGGAGCGTGCATTTCCATGACGTCTCTGCTGTCTGCCCTCACGCGCGCATGGGGGCAGGCCCCTCGGAGGCGCTTGGGAAGGGGCAGCCGCCTCTCGGCGAGCAGCGCGGAGGAGAGGGGAGGCTCCTCACATCGGGTGTCTGCCGTGTAAGAGCTGGCGTGGCACACGGAGGGCTGGTAACTGGGAAAGTGTGTCAGGGAAGGAGAGAGCTGGGTCTCAGGGAAGCGCAGGGAGCCCTGAAACGGAGAGGGCAGCGGGGTGGGTGGAGGAGGGCCGGCACCTGTGGCTTGGGTGGGAGGAGAGGTGCTGGGCGCACGTGGAAACACGGGCACTGGTGCTCTGCATGCCGGCAAAACTGACAGAGAGGAGTCAGAGCTAGAAAAGCAGGGGCTGAGGAACAGGGAGAGGAGGACCAGGTCCTCGGGGAAGGCTGATGACCATGCCTGCAGCTGTCAGGGAAGAGGGCAAAGCAGAGAGGTGCAAGGAACACGCGCACTGTGGTGCCACAGAGCCTCACTTTTCATGCCGTCCAAGTCAGCGGATGCCAGCATCTGGGCCTCAGCCTCATCCGTGGGGACACGCTGGTACGCTGCGCTCTCCAGCGTGGTCATGCTGCCGATGCACATTCTCTCCTTCAAGTCGTAGGTAACTCGCTGCCCACTCGCCACCTGGCCCCAGGGCTTGCGCTTCTCCCACCCTCGGGACAGGCGTTCCCGAGGCCCCGGGAGGCTGCAGGGACCAAAGAGACTGACGGTAGCAAACAGGGGGAGTGGCGACAAGCTCTGCCCCTTGGCAGGGGACGAGGACCTCATGGTCCTTACTGAGTTTCCCAGCTTGCAGGTCAGCATGAGCTAACTGGGAGAAAGAACACACCACATGCACAGCCCAGTGCCCCTAAACCCACATCCTGGGGATCCCATAGGGCTAAAGAGATCCCAGGAAGTGACCATCCTGCTGGGGAGCAGCAGTGTTGCTGCAGCCACTGAGCCATGGGGCCCCTGTGGTTCAGCAGGAGAGCAGAGGCTGGGCACAGCCACACACCTCCCTGTTCCACCCCAGGGGCAGAGCAGTGACCCCCCCCCAGCCCGTGCAGGGTGGCAGCAGCTCAGCTGCGCTCTGCTACCTGGGGAGGGAGGCAGAGCTCTTGTCCGGCTGCAGGTCGGTGAAGCACGGCGCGGGGGACAGGATGCCACACTCCTCCTCCACGTGGAACTGCGCCGGGGCCAGAGCGCTGCCAGACTCGTCCTCATCGCTGCCGATGGTGAACTGCGGAGACAACAGCCCTGAGAGCACGAGCCAGCCCGGGCAGCCCTTGGCACAGCCCTTGGCACACAGACCCTCCCCATGTCCCCACAGACTAGTAAAGGCCACTCCAACATCCCCCATGTGCCCCACACCCCCTGGGACTGGCCATATTAAGCCCCCCATCTGGTACACCCCAGGAACAGACACACTGATCTTCCCCCATGTCTGACACCCCAAAATGGCCATGCACACCCTCCCCAGCATCCACCCTGGGCAAAGGCTTACCTGTCACTGTCCCCTGGTGCCCATCTCTGCTCAGCAGGGACAGAACCACTCTTCCAATATCCCACAGCTCTACAAACTCTTCCACCCAAGCAGCTCACTCCCTTGACCACAAACCCTTTAGTGGCCTTCTCTGCACAGCCCCCAGGCTCCCACACCCACCCAGGCAGGGATGCCCTAGCCTTGCCTTTGGTTTGCTTGGGGGCTCCAGCTTAGGGGACGTGTCCTTCCCACGAGCTTCGCCCTCAGACTCTGCAGAGATCTCTTTCTCCTGGGCCTCCTCCGCCTCAGACTCTCCTTCTTCCTCTTCTTCTTCCTCTTCTTCCTCCTCTTCTCCCCCTTCCTCGTCCACTTCCTGGATGGTGGGGGTGACCTCTGAGGGGGGTACCGAGGTTTTCTTCTTTTTCTTTCTCCTTTTTTTCCTCCTGCTGGCACGGGGGGGCCTCTTTTGGTACTTGAGGGCAGAAGGGAGGTGAGTGGAAAGGAGATGATGGATGTGGTGCGAGGTTTGGCGGTGGACTGAGAGAGAAAAAGAGAGTCAGGGGCAGGAAAAGGCTGGGAGGAACCTGCCAGACGCCCCTCCAGGAAACAGCATGGTCTGGAGATCAAGGGCCAGGAAGGGCAAGGAGAGCCACCAGCCCGCAGGGACACAGCAAAGCTCTTTCAGCGATGTGGCAGGCTGATGCATCCAGCCTGGCGTGGCCATGGAGGCAGCCCTCATGCAGTGCCAAACCTTCCCAACCCAGCTCCACCGCCCTGGGCAAGGCAGGACTCTTCCAGGGCTGCTGAAAGCCATTCGCACGGCTAGGCAGAGCTGCAGCGACCTGCCAGAGACACTACCCCCTTCCTAAACACGGGGAAACACTTCTCACATTATCAAATAAGCAGAGTTTGGGCCATTTACAAACATTTCTTTCCTGCATAGTGTTCTTTAGTTCAGCTTAAATAGGTGTGCCTTATTTCACTGGCAGGCTTTGACAGGAATTACAGACCAAGTCTTTTAGTGCAGATGCAACATAAATCTATGTCCCAGGTTCTGGGGGGGGGCTTGTGCCTATCAGCCCCTGAAATGCAGGTTCAATTAGGAGGTTCTCTTTATAAACCAGGGTAAAAAACAGGGCAGAAGGACTTTTCGTCAAACTAATCTACAAAGAGAAATTCATACAGGGTTGACCTGGGTGTCGTGGGAATTACACAGCGAGAAGAAATTAATGGCATTTCTGAGCCATCACTCAAAAACAATGATAATGAACCATGCAGGGAGCAGGGTAAGCTCAGCACCTCCCTGCAAGAGATAGAAAGCCATTTCTGCCTGGTCTATCTGCAGGCACAAAGCCTCCCATAGACAGCCTGCAGGATGCACAGACCCTGGGGCTGCACCCGGAGCAGCTGAAATCACGGGGGCACCAGCCGCTTTGCAAGGGGGCTTTGCTCAGCAGCTCTTCCTGAGGAATTGTTTCCAGTCTGTTTTGATTTGGTTCCTTCCCAGCTTTCCTGTGACATGGCAGCAAAATCTGTTTATAGTGAAAACTACCTTCAAAGGGCGTTTTCAATGGAAGCTGTAACCTTCTCCCTGGGAGAGCCAGGCAGGTTCATTGTTCTGGTGTCATGTTTCCTTTCCTTTGGTTTCTCAAGTCTTTTCTCCCTTGTTTCCCCCCTTGGGAACAGACGGAATATTTCACACACCCCCTTGGTTCAGCAGGAGAGCCTTGTGGCAAGATTAGAAGAGATTGGGAATGGCCATACATGCAAAATGGGAAGAGTTTGGCCTCTTTATAAACTCTTTTTCTTCCAAAGCATTCTCTAGTTCTTTGACTTAAATGTACCCTTTAGATGTACCCTGGCAGGTTTTGGCACTCCTGTCCCGCTACTGTGCTCCTCTAGCGCTGCTCTGCCTGGCATGGGTAGCTCAGGCATTAATTTCTAATGTAGCAAGAAGCAAGGAAGGCCCCAGCTGTGCATATGTTGTTCCTACAGCAAAGCTGCTGCTGAAGACACAGCCCATTCACTCCTGCATTGACTGCATAAGCCCAAGACAGAAACGTCTGCATTTTGGATCATGTTAGTGATTCCTGGCTTTGAGTGTGGCAGGAAACATTTCTAAACCCAAGGAGCATTCACTTCTATGGGCTCGCAGAATATCTTCCAAAGTCTAATGGCCTAACCAGATCTTCCCACTTCATGAATACAAAGTGCATACAATTTCCAATAGCCAGGTTTGACACAGTCCTAGATAACAGGGACACATCAGGAGCTCAAAGGAAAACAAGCTTGATTCTGACAAAGAGAAGATACTTCTATTTAGAAAAAAAAAAAAAAAAGCAAAACAGTACAAGCCTGTAGGCAAATTTTCCAAGAAGCTTCTGCCATGCATGCTCAAGCAGATCATCTGTGTACTCTGAGCCAATTGGCACAGCTGTGCCCGCAGGCAGAGCTCCAGAGCAGGTAAGTCCCAGCAGCACAGTCCAGGTATTCAACCCGCAGCAAAGCTATCAGCACCTTGCAGCCATGTGTGCGAGTGACTGTGTGCTTCGGTGCAAGGTGCTGTTTTAGTGAAGCCTCTGTGGAGAAATGGCACAAGCAGAAAGTAGCAGCTGGGGTGCATTATAGTAGTAGACTTCTACTAGCAAACTTCTACAGCACCAACTGGAAAGGAGTGGCCAAGCAGCAAGCAGCCTGGTGATGTCCTAAGGACAAAATGTTCCTGAGGTTGCATCCTATCACAGTTAAGTCGTAAAATAAGCAGCATCTGATTGTGGAGAGACGGAGACTGGGAAACTGACCCAGCCATTGCTACTCGTCTTCCATACAAACAGCCTGCTGGCTGGGGTACTCCTCTTCCTGCCCGTTACTGTTACTACAAGCTAATGCAACCAGTCTACACCAAGCAGTAGCTTATGGCTGCTCTTGCGGGCACACTCTCATTTTACAGCCAAAGTGACTTTCACTGTTGCCATCTTAATGGAAGGGTGGTTGGTGGAATAAATGTGCTGATCAGAGGATTTCAGGGGAGACGGCTACAGCATTTTAAACTCACACTCCGTTTTTATTTTTCTGTCCTTTCTTTGAGCAGATAAACCTGATGGTTTCGTGGTTGCTATTTAGAAATACACAGGCATGTCTGACTGGAGCCATCTGCTTTCAGATTGGGGAGGACAGCCTGGCTCCTAGCCATGTTTGGATGTTTCTTTGCAGCCATATGGAAGAAAAATAGTTTCAAACTGGAAACTTGAGTTTGGTGGAAGTGGCTGCAGAGGTGCTTGACACTGGGTGGGGAGGTGAGCGAGCACCCAGGCCTGAGCAATGCTGTCACCTGGGCTGGGCAGTAGCTATGCCTCCAGGGACAGGGGACACTGGTTGGGAGCAGACTGGGATGAGGCAGTGGGCACTGGGTGTACATAGCATTCAGGGATTGCTCTGAAGGGAGGAAGGGTCTGCAGGGACCCCAGCACAAGGCTACAGAGCACATGAGGCTGAGCAAGGGTTAGCAGTGAGGGTGGAAGTGGGTACAGCGGTTCAGACCTACGTACATTCAAAATCTCTCTCACTGTAGCTGCGTCTCTGCTTCTCCAGATTGCTTGACGCTGACTTGCTTATCAGGTCCCCAAATCTCTCGACTGACAAGGTCTTATCCAAGTCCTCATCGTCCTCGGCACCAGGAGAGGCTTTCTCTGCATGATCTCTGCCCTGCACAGAAATCACCAGATAACAATCAAACACTGCAGACTCCTACAGTCCTCTGGGTCCTGCAAATGGGGTTGAGCTTGCTGAAGAGCAGTGGGCATCACACCACAGGGCTGGGGAACAGTTACTCATTGATGGGCACAGCTCCACTGAGAGTCGAGAGTCAGAACAGATCAGCAAGCCTCTGAGCTACCAGCTGAGACGTGCAGCTTTCTTTTAGCTGGGATTTCTCTTTCCTCACACCTTACTGCTACCCTCCGGCCTTCCCTTTGCTCAGT